TAAAACGATGTCTAGCATTCCTAATTAGAAAAACGAATGAAACGGACTCCAGGATTACCAGCAACAGGCTAATCACCAAATAATTTATTTTCAATGATGGAAATTTGCTAGTTAACAATAAAATTTGGAGACTCATACCGAAAAGGCTTGTTGTAGCGGAAGTCCCGTGAAAAGCCAGCACAAATTTGAAAAATGTGCGCTGCTTCTGGGTGCAACCTTAAAGATTTGTTCTTTATGTAATAAGAAAATCTTACTCTGCGAACATTGATTCCATGATTCTTTTTGCCATTGGCATGTTGGCTACGCATTTCCGTAACTGTTGCTATTGGATTTAGGCCTGCATTTTCAGCTAGAGTATATGGAACTTGTTCCAGCGCATCCGCGAATGCCTAAATGGTGTAAATAAAGAAAAACAAAGATGAAAAAATGCGAAACGAAGATCCAGACCTTGAATTATCCACCGATCCAGTACTGAAATTCAAAAAATCCTCACACCTTCAGATAAACGTTTCCAAAACCAAATTATCCGAAACAGAAGCAAAGTTTTCACACATACACACACACCCGCACACACACACGCACACACACACACACGCAAATACACGCACATGCTTACTTGAATACTTGAGAAGCTGTATGTCATCGACGTCCGTTGTCACGTATATACACAGACAAAAAACAAATATCATGTATACACTTACAAATACAAGCCCCACACATAATGCATATATGTACATAAATATTAAAACTGCGTATAGTTATGGTGGCGAACATAGGCGCCACGACAAGTGCTGCTGCCTATATTCAAAAACCTGCTCTTCTGATATAGTGCGGGAAGTGAAACAAATTTAGACTTACATACGTAAAAATACTAAAAACACTTGCACACACACACACCTATGTATAAGTAACATATACACACATACATGTACACATATATGCGCATACATACATGCATACACACATACACACATACATACATACACACATACATACACACATACATACATACATACATACACACATACATACATATATACACACATACATACATACATACACACGTAAATATATACATACACACGTGTACGCATACACATGCATACAAATGTACATACGCACACACACGCACACACCCACACACACGCACATACACACACACACACACAAACATAAGTAATGTCTAAAAATGGCAAATTTTTGAAAAAAAAAAAAAAAAAAACTAAGAAAACGACGTACTCTCCAGCAATACTGTTCAGCACCATGTCTTTCCAGAGCTAACTGACGCAGCTGTACTGCTACTTCCATTTCTGGAGCACCACCACCTGAAAAAAAAAAAACCACAAAAAATCATCATGGAAATCCGTGACATCCTTGCAATTTTCCTTAACCGTTTTTCATCCTAGCTAAAAATCTTTACGAAAGTTAAAAAAAAGAAGCAAGAGGAATCTATGAATAATTTTTCCAACAACAACTTAAAAGTTCTCGTTTTTTTTCGCTTTTTTTTAAACAAAATACTTAATTCCCTCACTAAATCACAGATAAACAAAAAGAAATGAGTCCCAATATCCTAACAAATCACAGAAAATGATCTACGATGAGGGATTGGCATCCACCGAATGACTGAATTATTGGAATTATTAGGCATATTACGATTTCTTTCATCAAAAAATCCTGAAAAGGGGATTTTTCGAAATTTTTTTCTTCAACCAACAAACCTGAAACAAGTGCTCTCTTTTTCACCAGACATCGAATGACACACAATGCGTCGTGAATCGATCTTTCAGCTTCTTCCAGCACCAGTTTGTTCGAGCCACGAATGAGAATTGAAACGGCTTGGCCTGGATTTTGGACTCCAGTAACCTGAAAATCATTCCGTAAAAAATAGGTCTGTTTTTTTTGGCTTTTGAATACAAAGACAGTACTTTTTTCACGGGCAAAAGTTGGAAAACTTAAAAAGGCGCCAAATTCACGTAAATCTCATGAATTTGTAAAACCAAGCCATAACATATCTCAAATCATCGGTAATCTTCGTCGTCCACAAGATTAATGTGGAAGTCAGGTCCTGGCACCACTATGAACTGGTCCATTATCGAACTCATGGAAACATCTCACCTGTATGATTTTTTCGCCACCTCCAACAGAAATTTCCTCAACAAGATCGGCCGAACCGAGTGCTTCGGGCACAAAATGATCGATCGATGCAACGGGGCGACAG